TCTGCAGCCCTCTGCCTTCTCTGGCAGCTCTAGGTGGTTTCAAGCCCCTTCTGTCTTCATAAGTCCCTGTCCCAAAGACCCCTCTCGGTGCTGCTTTCTTCTAAACCTTTAGCCTCTTGATGGACCCAGAGCTCTAGAAGGTCCAAGACCACCCACCCACAGAGAGAGGACCACAGAGAAGGAGCTGTTGCTCTTCTCCAGGGCTGGGACAGGCAGGTTCCTGGAGAAGCCCTCAGAAGGCCTTGGCTGCTCCCTGTCTGGACAGCTCATCTCAGCTGTTGCGACCTCAGCTTTCCCTTTGGTACAAAGGCATTCACGTGGTGAGGTGGGGAGGGGCAAGGGTAGGAGAGGCCATAGTGTAGAATCTACGTCCTTGTCCTTCTTCTCCACCTGGGGATCTTGGCTTGGGTTTGGCTTTGAGTCAGGGGTGGCCGGGGAGAGCCTGTGCCTCTGGCTAGGCCGTGGCTTTTACCAACACTCCTTCTCCCAGCCCCTCCTCTCTCTGCTCTGAACACCCCTCAGCCCTGGAGCTAGAGAAGGGGCTGCTTTTGCTGGTTTTGCTCACCTTGCTCAGCAGGCAGAGCCTCACAGAGAGTCTGCTCAAAGCCTTTTGAGAGTAATCCTAGGTGGTCTCTGCTCCCATTTGAATTGTGGCTTAAAGGACACCACTCAAGCTTCTGAGCAGCTGGGTCTGAGGCAGCTTGTGGTTGGGGGGGCCGGTTAGGATACAGACTTGAGTTAGAATCCTGGCTCTAGAATTCGGGGCTGAGACTATGGTAAAGCAAATGAGGCGAGTCACATAAGTCTTTATTTTAAATGCTGGCATTTTATCCACCATGGATTTTTAAATTTTGATTTAAAAATATTGTATCAAAGGCAAGGTGCAGTGGCTCACGCCTGTAATCCTAGCATTCTGGGAGGCTAAGGCAGGAGGATTGCTTGAGCTCAGGAGTTCAAGACCAGCCTTAGCAAGAGGGAGACCCCATTTCTAAAAAAATAGAAAACAATTAGCCAGGTGTCATAGTATGTGCCTGTAGTCCCAGCTGTTCACGAAGCTGAGGCAGGAGGATCACTTGAACCCAGGGGTTACAGGTTGCAGTGAGCTATGAGGATGCCACTGCACTCTACCCAGGGCGATGGAGTGAAACTCTGTCTCAAAAAAAAATTATATTAAGTATCATTTGGCTTGGTTACCAAGCTTTTTGGTACCCCCTTAAATT